CTCTCCATGGCCAACTCTCCATGGCCAACTCTCTATGGCCAACTCTCTATGGCCAACACTCTATAGCCAACTCTCCATGGCCAACTCTCCATGGCCAACTCACTTCAGCCAACTCACTGCAGCCAACTTGCCATGGGACAATTCAACACTATGTTAATAGCTTCATTCAATTATTTTTATCCTTGGTGAGGCAACCAATGGGAAGTAATCAAGGAGAGACGCAACCTGTCAGTGTTCCAGAAAACTGAAACTGGAAAGCTGACACAACCTGGAACTAAGGAGAAATTTCCTGATGGTTAATGGAAGGGACCTTGTAGGTCATCTAGTCCAACCCCCTGCCCAAGCAGGAGACCCTACACCACTTCTGACAGATGGCAGTCCAGTCTCTTCTTGAAAGTCTCAAGCGATGGCGCTCCCACAACTTCTAAAGGCAACTTCTGTTCCATGGGTTGATTGTTCTCCCTGTCAGAAAGTTTCTCCTTATTTCCAGGTCGAATCTCTCCTTGTTCAGTTTCCATCCATTCTTCCTTGTCTGGCCTTTGGGTGCTTTGGAAAATAGCTTGACCCCCTTCCTCTTCTCTGTGGCAGCCCCTCAAATATTGGAAGTTGTCCCATTCCAAAGCAGTGAAATGATAGATTATAAAGCTGAAGCTTTAATACATTTGCCACTTAAGGTTTGATATGCGTTTCTTTTACCTCCCTGCTGTCACCCGAATCAACCTTCTGCCAAGAAAATATCCTACGTTGCGGAAAGAAAATTAGGGGGGAACAGCATCAAACCTCACACCTAGGAATCAAAATGTTTTAGTCTAGACGTTAAAATCTCTCTTTTAAAAATGACATCAGGGCAGCGAGTAATGCATGTATGCATATAACGTTTAGCTCCATTCTCAGTGGGGTTTGACGTTTCTCTCTCTCCCCCACGCCCCGTTCCTTAGCGTTAACTGTGCTAAGAGAAGGTTTGTTTTAATCATTGGTTGTACAAGCCATAACTGGCTGGGTTTGACCAACTTGCTGAGCTGTAACTTATAATTTTACAAATTGCAGCGTTCGGGTTTAAACAGCGTATTTAGAGGGAAAACCATGTTTTGCAGCCCATAACTATTGGCTTCATATGCTGCAGCACATGAAGTCAGAGCCAAGCAAGCCACATCATTGCTTGTTGGAAGCTACTAAAACTCTCTAAGGCTACTACTATCATATGTGGTGAACATGTTCAAAGGCAAAAAAAAAAAAAAATACTGGACAAAAGTACATACGTGGTTAGAAAAACCGGTAAAGCAACATATACATTTAAAACAAGTAATATTTTTGTTGGGTATTTTACCCAGCGGTGGGTTTCTAATTTTTTTCTGAGCGGTTCTATGTGTGCGCGTATTTTAAAAACCCCTAAGCTTTCATCCTTGATCCTAAATGCCTACAGAGTTTTTCAATCGTCCCGGTCATGGTTGCTCCAAATCAGAGGTGGTATTCAGCCGGTTCTGACCAGTTCTGGAGAACCAGTAGCGGAAATTTTGAGTGGTTCAGAGAACCGGCCAATCCCACCTCTCACTGGCCCCGCCAACCCCATCTATTCCCTGCCTCCCATTGAGTCCCAGCTGATCAGCTGGGTCTTCTTTTGTTGCCCTACACAGGAGAACGGAGCTGGAAAGCAGGTTAGCAGGGTGGGGGAGAGAATGGGGATTTTGCAGTATCCTTCCCCTGCCATGCCCACCAAGCAATGCCATGCCCACCAAGCCACACCACACCCACCAACCACACCCACAGAACTGGTCATAATTTTTTTTTAATCTCACCACTGCCCCAAATATGCTTTTTCAAAAGGCTCCATACCCATTTGCGCTTTTCAACTGACCCCAAGGGCACAGATTAACCTCCAAGTGGCTTGAAAGACTCTCAAAGGCAGTGCTAACGACCAGATGACTGCGAAGAATATAATCCCTTCCATCATCCACCTTAGTAATGGGATTCAAATATTTTTTACTACCAGTTCTGTGGGCATGGCTTGGTGGGCGTGGCAGGGGAAGGATACTGAAAAATCTCTAGTCAGAGGTGGGATTTGCCAGTTCTACGAACTACTCAAAATTTCTGCTACCGGTTCCCCAGAACTGGTCAGAACCTGCTGAATACCACCTCTGTTCCACCTCCATCAGAACTGAAGAAGCTTCTTGGGTGAGAAGCGAAACCTCTTCAAGGAAAAACAAACTCGAGTTGCCTTTTGAAAAAAAAAAAAAGCACCTTTGAGACCTTGAATCTAAAGTTAATCATCACTCCTACACATTGAAAACTCTCCCTGGAGCAAATGAAGGGTGTTTATGGAAGGGTGTTAAAGGTGAAACTCAAAATTCCCTTTATGCGGAAAGCTTTTGTACATCACGACTCCTCCAGCTGGGTTCACATTCCTGATTCTCCTCCTCCCCGTTCTCACTCCAATTCTCCCTGTAAACGTACCAGGGTGAAAGGGCAAAATGCCACAGCTTACTATTAATTTAGTTATCTTCAAAATACAGGATATTATTTCTGCTGCTGCTGCTCGGTTCTTATCACCCTTGGAGTAATTGCAGGGCTCCCGCGTTGCAAATAACGAAACAGGACTTGTAAATGCTGCCCCTCTTGTATGAGGCAGAGAGCCAAAAGCTTAGAATAAGACTTTCCTCCAAGGAATTATTTGACCCACAAGGCTGGCAGGTGTTGCGCGAAAAGGGTTCACGATCTAATCCCAGCAAAGGAGAGCTAAACTAAAGGCAGGAAAGGGCTTATGAGGACACAGCCCAAGAGGGCAACATGTAGACTAGCAAAACTGAATCAACATCTAAGCACAAGTGATGAAGACAGGAAGCAGTGAATGAGAGAGAGAGAGAGAGAGGGAGGGAGGGAGAAAAAAGAAAGGCTGAAAGAACAGATAGAAGAGAGGAAGGAAGGAAGGGAGGGAGGGAGGAAAAAGAAGGAAGGAAAGAACAGAAGGGAAGGAGGAAAGAAAGAACTGAGGGAGGGAGGGAGGGATAAAAAAGAATGAAAGAATAGACGGGAGGGAGGGAGGGAGGAAAGGAATTGAGGGAGGGAGGGAGAAAAAGAATGAAAGAACAGACAGAAGGGAGGGAGGGAGGAAAGAAGAAGGAGGGAGGGAGGAAAAAGAAGGAAAGAAAGAACAAGGGAGGGAGGGAAGGAACTGAGGGAGGGAGGAAGAAAAAGAACGAAAGAACAGAAGGAAGGAAAGAAGGAAAAGGGAAGGAGGGAGGAAGAAGGAAGGAAAAAACAGGTGGAAGGGGAGGAACTGAGGGAGAGAGGAAGAAAAAGAATGGAAGAACAGACAGAACGGAGGGAGGGAGGAAAAAGAGAAGGAAGGAAAGAACAGAAGGAAGGAGGGAGGGAGGGAGGAAGGAAGGAAAATAAGAAAATAAGCATGTTACTCCCTCAGCTTGCCTCACTTACTTTGGTATGTCCTGGAGTGCACTGTTTTCACTTGCAGAAGGAAGTTTCTAGTCCTTATGACTGAAACTGGGTTGGCCAGTCTGTTAGCAAAAGGCTCAGAATTCCATAAACAATCACCGCCTCTCTCAAGCATTACACAAAGAGTTAGATTAAAGCTAAGAGCTCTTAGTTTGTGACTGACTTTATACCTGCCAACATTTTGCTTATGGTCACCCCCCAAAATGGTGTGCCAAGTGGGGACCTCTAACAACCCCCTCTCTTCTCTGAAACTCTTGGGATCTGTGCTTCACAAGTGACAGAAATATCCTTGCAGGGCAAATCCAACTTGTCCCTGGCTATGCACTACCCACCTGCAACTTGTAAATAAATCTCAGCATTTAATTGGGTCACCAAGGCCTGTTAATGCAGTGAGTATCAGGACTTAGGAGTGCCGAATGCAACATTCAAATCCCTGTTTACAATCCAGCTTGCTGAATAGCCTAAGATCACTTGTGATCTCTCTGTCTTCCCCTCCCTGGAAGGTTGAGGTGAGGTGAGAGGTTTCTGAGTTGTGGCGAATAGAGCAGGAACCACCTAAAAAAAAAATATCTCCCGACACTTAGAAACAATTAATAAATGGAACGGTTTGCCTCAAGTTGTGGGTGCTCCAACACTGGAGGTTTTTAAGAAGGAATTGGACAGCTGTTTGTCTGAAATGGTCTAGGGTTTCCTGCTTGAGTGAGGGGTGGACTAGAAGACCTCCAAGGTCCTTCCAACTCTGTTATTCTGCTTGAGGGAATGGCATGCTTTCAACCAGGGTTTCCCCACTTTGCCCACTTTAAGACCCGTGGACTTGTAGAACGGTCAACTCATAAATGGTTCCTGTGCCTGTTCCCGACTTGACATTAGAAGGAGGTGGGGGAGAAAGGCCTGATGGAGCAATGTAACAGGTGAAGGCCAGAAGCACATTCCATGCTTATCTTGGGGAGATTGTAGCCTAGACTACTGGATCTTCTGCCTGTGAAAATCTTCCTGTTCTGACCCAAACCCTTTTTCCCAATAAGACAAACAATAACCAAAGGGAACAGAAACCTTTTAATGAGCCTTACAAATCCCCGGTTAAAAGGCTGCTGCAAACTAATTAACTTTGATAAGCACAAACCTCACTAAAACTGTGCAAGACTGCCAAGAGTCACAGATAAGAAATATTTCACAACACATGTGTCCAACTTAAGGTACTGTAATGTCCACAAGGCTGAGTTTCAAAATGTTTTTGCTTCCTGCAAAGAACGTTCACTTCACAGCTGGCTTTTATCTTCTTGAAGAAGGAGCCATTGCCTTGCAGCCTTACTCCCGAGTCGCCCGTGCTGCTGCAGCTGCTCTTTCCTGCGAGCAATCCTGTGAACATGTGCACTTGGCACAGGCTCCTCGGGAACCTCCTCATTGCTGCTGCCAGCCCCCACAATCTCTTAAGGCAGCAGTCTACTCCCTAATGGTCTTGGCCCCTCATCTGAGTCCTCGCTCTCCTCAGCCATCTGCACCCGCTGCTGGCTAACCACAACACTTCCATTGGAGAGTGTGATTGATGACACCCAGCCAGTGAACGTGTTTCGTTGGAGAATCTGATTTGTGACACTCCCAGGGGGTTGGGAGGAAACAGGGTCATAGGTAATAGCAAATTACCTGTCTCAGAGTTGGCTTCATATGAGCTAATGGTGGAAATGTTGCTCCTAATAAATCTTTTGAATTCTTTTGAAGCTTGGCTCGAGGGTCATGATTTAATTAGGGCAATCACCGGAACCCTGACAAGAGCAAGGCAACCACAAGCCATTTGAGACTTGCTGCAGAGAAGAACATCATGGGCCATCATGGAGTCAGCAGCAGATGAAATGGACCTAAAGGACCTCTAACTAACTATTTTGCACCAATTATGGAGCGTGTTAATTATGGGAAGAAGTGAGAAGCTGTTGAGGAGGAAAGGAAAAAGCGGGACATTTCTCTATACCAGGTAGAGCCATGTTGGTGGATCGTTGCTGGAGAAGTCATGTGAGCTGGGTGGAAGATGAAACTAAAATGGAGGGCGGTGCATTGACAGCGGATAATGTGCAGGAGAAGAACTTGTGGAGATCATAAAGGTCACCTGGATTAGGAGAAGCAGTGACAAATGGGCAAGAAGGCTAAGAGTCTGATCCTTAGGTTAGGAAGTTCATAATTTAAAACTTAGGATCATCAGCCATTCCTCTCTTTCCCCCTTCCTCCTTAGCTCCAGGGTAATAACATAGGCCAACTTCTGAGCACAAGACTTGGATGATGTTTGAGAACCCAACAAAACCTTCAGCTGTGCCAAATTGAAGGACCCAGTTGGGAAGCATCCAAATGGATCTGTTGGTTGAAGCAGAGGCCTTGTATTCTTCTGGAAGGCTTAGCATAGCTGCTTTGGGGCTTCCCCACATCTCCTGAACATGCTTATCAGACACATCTGTCAGGTTGGGTTGCAAGAATGATATCTGTGCATGCCATCGACCAGGAGGGTAATGGTCAGCTGAAAACAGCCATATTGAGCCCTGGAGAAGACAGGTGGCCTCAATGCTTCAAGGACCAGATTTGACCATTTTCTGGTCAAATGACTGGTCCTTGGTGCTCTCTGAGCTTATTTTTTTTTCCTCGCAGATGTCTCATTACCCAAACTAGATACCATCACCACGATGTTACCTAGTTTGGGTGATGAAACATCTGCAAGAAAACAACCCAGCTGAGAGGGCACCATCACTCATCTCAACCCTGAGCTATAAAGATTCTGCTTTGTTGCTCTAACTTTGCCTAGCCTTGGTGGGAAATTTAGGTCACCCTTTGGCGGTGTGGAAGAGGCTGATCCATGATGCCAGTCTGATCCCGCTTGCTGGTGGAGTTTCACCCACACTTTCCTACCTGCATGAGTCAGCGGCCAAGGACCATCAATGAAGACAATATAGCCAGAAAGGAAAGTGACCATCAAGCCATGCAAGAGAGTGACCATTCGACCGCTCCATTCTGAGCTGCGATGTCTGTTTCGATACAAAAAACCCCAGTAGAGAAAAAGCCACGCCAAGGTGCTACTGATGACTTGGAGAAGGATGGGCGACATCTTCTTGTAGCTAAAGAGAAAGACAGAGAAATAATATGCACACTAATCCAATGACAATGAAGCCTGCTGGCTGGGGAATTCTGGGAGTTGAAGTCCACATATCTTAAAGTGACCAAGGTTATGAAACACTGGCCTTAAGAGCCGTGGTGACGCAGTGGTTAGAATGCCGTATTGTAAGCTAATTCACGGCTCACTCCAGCAGTTCAATCCTCACCTGCTCAAGGTTGACTCAGCCTTCCATCCTTCCCAGGGGGGTAAAATGAGGATCCAGATTGTTGGGGGCAATTGGCTGACTCTGTAAACTGCTTAGACAGGCCTGCAAAGCACTGTGAAGCGGTATATACATCTAAGTGCTATTGCTACTGCTAGACAATTATGTCTTCCTGCTTTCCTCCCATTGTCCTTCTCTCACCTATTTCTCTCATCTTCTCCCTCTTTTTTCTCTGCAATACTTAGCCAAAATAGTTAGATGACTGACAGATAGATTGCAAAAGAGTCAGTTTTAGGGTACTTTGATAAAAAAAAAAGTTACAATTAAAAAGGTAAAAACTAATGCAAACTAAAAAAAAAAAGAATTAATAGAAAAAGTAGGAAGCGGAGTAAGGAAGAACAGAACAATATAAAAGGAAATAAGAATTTAGTAAGGAAAAAGAAATATAGAAAGAAACCACTTATCCCTTCATCACAACAAGTATAAGCAATTAATTTATCTCCTCTTAATTTAAAACAAGTGATCTCTTCTTTCCATATCTTATCTATAAACTAAGTCTTAAAATCTCCTTATTTGGTACTGATCCATTATGAGTTAAGAACATATCTAATTTAACCTTGATCAAATAAACCATAATTCTATTATTTCCATTCACTTTTAACAGTCTTGATCATCATTCCCTTCAAATAATGTCCTAAACTTGGTTTTTTTTTCCCTCCATTTTTTCTTTGTTCCCTTTTACCAAATTCTTCAAAGCTTTAGCAAGCCTCTTCTGTAAACCCAATATAGAAAAAAAAACATTGAGGTTACTTTCTTGGTTATTTGTACATCCATTTTAATTATGGATTTGTTTGTTTGTTTGTATGCCCAGAGTAGCATCTTCTTCCGTAACGTTCTTGTAACCTGTCATTTTAAAAACCATTTTCAGTTCTGTGTCACAATCTTGCCCAGTACGATGTGTTCCCCTTTTATAACATCTACCAACATTTAACTGTTATTCTCCTTCAAATATAATATTGGATTCCTTTTGGTTTCCCCCTTAATATTCAACCTTCAAAGACTCATCCTATCTTTGTTTAAAGAGAATTTAAAAAAAACCTCACAGAAAGATTATTTTAATTAATTGCAAAATTCTATTTCAAATCCATCAACACCCTTAGTCTGTTTATACAATTTCAGAATCAACGTTCTAACTCCTTTTTTTTTTCATTCTGAAATATGAAGGATAAGAAACAATGGATGGAAACTAAACAAAAGAGAAAACCAACTTAGAACTAAGGAGAAATTTCCTAACAGTGAAAACAATTAGACCAGTGGAACAACTTGCCTTCAGAAGTTGTGGGTGCTCCCATCACTGGAGGTTTTTGAGAAGAGATTGGACAGGCGCTTGTCTGGAATGGTAGGGGTCTCTTACTTGAGCAGAGGGCTGGACTAGAAGATCCCTGAGGTCCCTTCCAACTCTGTTACGCTGAGTCATTTTTAAGTCTGTAAGCTTGTATTTTAAATGTCTTTTGCTAAGCACTGAAGGAAACTCACCCAGTGCTATAAAACCTGTTGACTCAAAGGCTCCTAATGGCTGGAAAACAATTAACAAGCAGTTTCCCAAAGTGGTTAGTCAGGCAATTACCCAATCCAAATATCCTTAAAAGTAGGTTGAGCAAGATAGTTATTATCTCCCAGAACGTTACACCCATTGGAAACCGCTGTCTTGCACTGTCTTCATGAGCAGCAACTGCATGGAGCACTAGGGGGCAATCTCAAATCCTTTCCTTGCCCAGAGAGGAATTAAGAAGAGCCGGTGCACATGATAAGTTTTTTATATTATTATTTTTTTTGCTAGAAATGCAGGCATCCTGGAACTTCAGTCCATCAGCTAGAAACCAGTTAAGTGAGCAATCAACTTCCCCAAATCTCTATGGCCATTCAACGACTTTACTCTCTTCTATTCAACAACTTTACTTTAGGTCAGGGATTGGCAACCTTAAACACTCAAAGAGCCACAAAGTTCCTAACTGGAAGCCCCCTCCCTCCAGTTCAATTCTGGAGCTGACCGGAAGTCCGGTTCCCTCACCATAGAGTCTCTTCCTAGCACGGCATCCTTTTTCCTCTACCTATCCTAACCGAAAAACCCTATCAATGGTGGAGCCGACCGGGAAACTCACCCCTTGCCATGGAGTCTCCTTCTGGCTTGCCATGCTTCCCCCCTCCCCAAAAAACGGAAGCTCCTCTCAAAATTGTGGCAAAATTGTGGCACTGACCAGCGACAAGGAGCCACAGTAGAGGGATGAAAGAGCCACATGTGGCTCCAGAGCCACAGTGTCAGGGCTCTGGCAGTTATCCCCCATTTAAATTATGAGTCTCTAGCCGAACTTCCAAAACTTAAAGAAGATTTATTAGGAGTAAACATGCCGGCACTACTTGGGTATAGCCGACTCTGAGACACATCATTCATTGTCACCCTTGACCCTGGTTCCACCCCCCCCCCGGGTATATCATAATTCATATTCTCCAATGGGACACATCCATAGCCAAGAGTCATCAATCATGCTCTCCCGTTAGAATTTTGCACGGCAGAAACTTCGGTCACCTAGAAACGATCTTTGAAGACATTTATGGAATGCAGTTTTGGTTTGCAAGCTGCTGCACTGCTCCCCCTCCCTTTCTGTTGGCAACTCTAAAAAGACCATAGAAATATTTTATGAGTTGACACGCGAGTTGCCAACTAGGTCCTCCGTTCTGAGACTTCCGTTCTATGACTTTAATTTCTTAATGTCCAAAACCTTCACGATTGTTTTAAAACGTTCTACACAATTTAACACGTCAGGAGAATAACCGACCCTTGTCCAGGTACTCACAAGCAAAGCCCCAAATCCTTGAAACAGGAAGAGATGACCAATCCAGGAAATGACCCAGCAGACAGCGACGGTAGTCTTGTCTGTTGCCGATTCTGAATGAAGTTCTAGAATCCCTGTCTTTCTGCAGATCTTCCTCCTCCTGTTGCTTCCTTCACAGCCCTAAGAACGGCAGAACCTCCAAACCTGCCGATACGAAGGTGGCATGATCATCCCTTCACGAGGAGGATGTCAGCCTCCGGAAATGCAACCTGGGTGGTTTGTGCCTCTGCTGTCTTTGTTTTTCTTTATATAATGAATATCTCTCTCAATCACCAATTCCAAGCCAACCAGATTCTTTTGTAATGACACTTCAGAAGCACCCGAGTCCAGCTCTTCGGATTGGCCGGGATTGTTTCTCTGGTGACAGCAGTTTCCTTCCTTCTGGGCTCAGGAATTAGGAGCACCATAGCTTTCTCATGACAGTAATGTGCAAGCAGAATGAGTGCAGGATCAGGTGTTGAATACCCAAAATACTTCTAGAAAAGGGAGGATGTCTAGCTAGAACTATAGTTGTTCTGAGAAGGTTATGGCACAGATGTTCCATCTTCTTCCTCCCTCCCTCCCTCCCTCCCTCCCTCCCTCTTTCCTTCTTTCCTTCCTTCTCTGTTCTTTCTTTTCTTTTTCCTCCCTCCCTTTTCTTCCTCCCTCCCTCCTGTTTGTTCTTTTATTCTTTCTCTTTTTTCTCCCTCAGTTCCTCCCTCCCTTCTTTCTTTCCTCCCTTCCTTCCTCCCTCCTTCCTTCTTTCCTTCCTTCTCTGTTCTTTCTTTTTTTCTTTTTCTTCCCTCCCTCCTTTTCTTCCTTCCTCCCTTCTGTCATTTTTCATTCTTTCTCTATTTTCTCCCTCAGTTCCTCCCTTTCCTCCCTCCCTTCTTTCCTTCCTTCCTCCCTCCCTCCTTCCTTCTCTATTCTTTCTTTTTTTCTTTTTCCTCGCTCCCTCCCTCCCTTCCTCCCTTCTGTCATTCTTTCGTGCTTTCTCCTTTTTCTCCCTCAGTTCCTCCCTCCCTTTCTTCCTCCCTCCCTTTTTTTCTTCCTTCCTCCCTTCTGTCATTCTTTTTCTTTTTTCTCCTTCAGTTCCTCCCTCCCTCTCCTTCCTTCCTTTCTTCCTTCCTTCCTTCCTTCCTTCCTTCCTTCCTTCCTTCCTTCCTTCCTTCCTTCCTTCCTTCCTTCCTTCCTTCCTAACAAACAGCAGGGATTTGAGTGCAGAGGAGAATGTAATCTTATTTCCTGTAATTTATATGATCTTCTAATCCACCAGGACGCTTCATATTTTGGGAAGTGAAGAAGGAAACCTGTTTGGTCTTGTGCTTTGCTCACCACAAATAATATGGGGTGAAAACTCCCCCAACAACTTGGGAAAGACAGGGAAACAAATCCCTCCTGAAAAGATTAAATCTCTTCTTTTCCACGAGAAATTTGGCCCCACAACTTCAACATTTCGCTTTATATATATTTAATAAATAGAGGTAGTGTTCAACATTCAACAATTCATTTAGTGGCCGTTCAAAGTTACAACATCATTGGAAGAAGTGACTGGTGATTGTTTTTCACACACACAACCTTTGAAGCATCCCCATGATCACATCAAAATCCAGATGTTTGCAATTGGTCCATACTTACAACAGGGGCTGCCCCAGAAAGGAGCTGGGTCAAGCTATTTTCCAAAGCACCCAAAGGCCAGACAAGGAATAATGGATGGAAACTGAACAAGGAGAGATTTAACCTGGAAATAAGGAGAAACTCTCTGACAGTGAGAACAATCAACCCATGGAACAGAAGTTGCCTTCAGAAGTTGTGGAAACGCCATCACTTGAGACTTTCAAGAAGAGATTGAACTGCCGTTTGTCAGAAATGGTGTAGGGTCTCTTGCTTGGGCGAGAGATTGGACTAGATAACCT